AAAGTTTACCTCATTGACTTTAGTTTATGAGGTATATTCTGTGGCTGTAAAAATACATCAAGGTAAGCAGAGTATTCAATGGGTTCACCAAATTTAGATACTGGCCAAAGGCTTCTTGAAAATGAAAGCAAAAACAAAAACAAAAGAAAAATAAGTAGATGGAAGCTAGCAGAAAAGCATAATATGCAAAAGTAATTTGGAAGGCCAAAAGAACAAACACCGAAACGTCCAAATAATTGGTTTCAGCATTCTGAAAGATTTCTAATTTATAGCACTCACCTCAAAAACTCTGATTGCAAAATATCACACAGACACATAATATATAGCTCAGACTAAAAATAACCAAACCTAGGCCAAAACACTTACCATAACCATCAAGTAAGATAAGATGATGTGCTGAATTGAAAGTGAAAATTAGAGGTTGAACAAGGAAAAAAACTCAAATTACAGTCGGAGCTTTAAATCTAAATTAAGCATATCATATATTAGTCTATTTTGGTTTTTCTTCATATATAATTCTTAGAGGAGATTTGAGAAAGAAATACCTCTCCAGTAAACTCAATGACAGGCTCCTCTTTAAGTAGTGCCTCATACTCTTCATTAGCATCAATGTCAACAACACGAGCAGCTGGATGCTTTCGGTGGTACTCACGAATCTGCACACAAAGCAAGTACAATGCATATCTAAGTGGAGCTATCTTCCTGAAGTAAGGAAGAATTCAAGAAAACCACTCAACTTACCTCTTTCAATCTATCATAAAACGCACTATAAACACATTTGTTCCGGTTGCAGTTTGGTCTCCAAGAGCTGCTATTTCATCCTTCCTCGCATCGTCTTTATCTTCATAAATCTCAATCTGAAACCATCACAATTGCAGGCATTTTAACTAAACTAGAGCAGTGTAAACACTGGAAATTATATTACCCTAAATTCCACGCAAAAGACTAATTTCAATCGAAGTTAAACATGACAGAAATTGAGAGATAACAATCTGAAAGCTAAAGGTAGAGCAAATTACGAGTTTCTCGGTAGTGGAGGTAATGGTGTCGATCATGTTGCGCACACGGTGGCTCTGAAACAGGTGGTCTTTGCTTGTAGGCGGTTCGGTTTGTAGGTCCTTGACTATGAGCCGCTCGAGCTGCTCCACCTCCTCGTGTGCCGCTCGCCGTCACCTTCAGGAGTGTGGACGACATCTCGTCTCCCTCTGTCCTCTTCTTGAGCCGTCGTACGACCAGACTAGGGTTTCCTACGTCTGCAGAGAGACTGACGGTGTTCCAACGCGGCGATGAAGACTGAACGGAGAGAATGGGGATCGAGTCCGTTGCAGACACCGCGACTTAATGTGCTGCAGATTATTGAGCCCTGGGCTTACATATGTTTCAAACTGGGTTTGGGCGGCAAATCTTTATACTCTTTTACCGGAGTTTGAAAATTGTATAATTATAATATAATATATTATGATATTAGTGTTTTTCCACTCTATCTTCAAAGAATTATAAGAAAAAATAATAAAAAAATATTTTAATTTATGATTTAAAAATAAGATATTTTGATTTTTTTCAATAAATATTTATTAAAATGACGTAATTTTAGAATAATACTCCTCCTAATTTATAAGAAATAAGACGGATAAACACAATTCATATATATTATTATATAATTAATTTTTTTAATTAAAATTTATTTATAATATTATATATTTATTTATTTAATAATATATCACACACTTATTTAATAACACATTATGAATATATATATTTATTTGTTTAATAACATATCATATATTTATTTAATTATATATTATAATTATAAATTTGTAATACCTTAATAACCGAAAAATAGTGGGGTTTTCCTTCGACATGTCTGCCCATATTGTTGCCTTTACATGTTCTCAAGCATTTTCTTCAACCATTTACATTATGTTTTATTAGAGAGAAATGAACGTGAGAAAAAAAAATTTGACTAATCATATTATAATATTTAAAAATATTATAATTTGATTAATTAAAATACTCTCTACTTCTCTCTCCTCAACTCAAATATACTATTAATTTAATTTATTTACATTAACAACTTTAAAATTACTACTTTTTATATCTCAAAATAACTATCATTTTTTATTTTTTTTTCTAATTAAAAATTTAGAAAGAATTTATGTATTTATTTATATATATTTAAAAAAAACTAAAAGATGAAATAAGACTTTTGTAATAAAAGTAATTAATCAAAATAAATAAATAACAATATGGTTAAAGTAAAGAAAAAATTGTCTATCCTAAAAAATTAAAAAATACAACAAATAACTACAATTATTTTAGCACACATAAGATTTTCATTTGATTTATGGTTTTCATGAGGAAAATAATTTGTGCATATATCCTGGCAACTTCATGTTAAAAAAGAGAGCAAAATATCAAGGTTGCAAAAAGGCTTAGGTAATAGTGAACGGTTTCCTACAGTCTAAAGTCTGGAGTGAACAAGCAGGACCTAAGCTACCTAGGTGGTTTTTTTTTTTTTTTCAATAATTATTTTTTGATATAATTCTAAGAAAATAAAAAAAAAAGGTAAAATAAATTTTAATTTATAAAATAAATAAAAATATTAAACATTTTTCTATTCATTATCATGTTTAAAAAGTAAAATTTAAGAAAATTACTTGACATTTAATGTTTTTTTAATATAAATTTTATAATAAATTAAACAATATCATTTTATTAAGTTAAAAAACTAATAAAAAAAATTTACTCAAACGCTTTAAGTGCCATTAAGCACACCTTATAATGCCTACGCATGTTTAATTGATCTGAACGATGCCACATTGAACTTTTACTTAGAGGCTGATGCAAGCAAAATAGCACTGCCTAGGGCCTAGGTGCACCTAAACCCGCTTTTTACAACACTGAAAAATATTTCAGGAAGAGTATAAATCCAGTTAAAATGAAATTTTGGGAAAAGAGGTTTTGCTTAAGGAAACAGAGCTATCGTTCACAAAACTAAGACTGTCACACAAGCACATTGTTAACCAGGACACCATTTCCAAGCAGACAGTATTGTCCTATTCAAGTTTTTCTCAAAATACCAAACTACCAAACTAGTTATATAGACAACAAACTTTGCAGCAAAACCAGACATGCATCTTGGTTCTCATTGACACAGGCAAAACATTTTCCCATCTCTGAATTCCACCTCTAGCGAGCTTCATATTGAACAACTGCACGATACAAAAATCAATAACATTAATACAGGTTTGTAGACCAAATATGAATTGCAACATCAAAAAATTACAAAATAATTTAAGAAGATAGATGCATTAGCAAGACACTAAATACTCCTGAAAATTCAAATCACATTAAGGATTGGAGCAAACTTGAAGAGTAGATGATAGAGGAACAGAAGGTCAGCAATTTTCCAGCTTTTCCTCCAACGTGTGAATCAAAACAGAAAAGCAAGCAGGGATTCCTAGATGCAAACCAGGGCCATGCATCATCTTACGTAGGTAAATATTGTACAACCTCTAGCAGCAGTTAACCATTATAATCATAGAGTTTATTCAATCCAATGTATAACACAATTATAACAATATGTACGACCACCAAATCAAATTTTTATTGAACTTTCATTTTCATTTACAGAACTGAGATGCATAAAAGTAGGACAGACTACATAACCTGAACAACTGATAAAAGTTTTGGCTTTTTTTCGATCTTTGACACACTATTGATGAAAAAGAATTCAAGTATCCAACATTATGTAAAATTGGGAAAAGTCTTAATTGGGTTGAGTACAGGACATATCAAGAGTAGAAGTTGAAAACCAAACAGCATAGTGTATTAGCAGAGTGCAAATCTGGAGAGACTACTGCCTATACCTATCAGCATTTCCTGCTAAATTTTACTACCATATACAGTTATCATACCAATTAATCTTCAAACATGTTCAAAGTCTTCCCTGCCCTCCAACCCCTCTCTCGAAACTTGAAACCCTTCATTAAATTTCCTTGCATCAAATCTAACATAGAAGTAGATCTCATGCCATCATTCCAAAATTGATTTGAGCTTATTTGATAATTGATATTAACTATTTGGAGAATTTGCAAACTAATATTTCACATGTTAACCATGAGAAGCTCGAAATTTTATCAAACCCACAATCTACATAATCAAGCTTCCACTTTATATAACTTCACTCCGACCAATGATTAACCTCAAAAAGATAAAATTGATTCACTTCAGAATCTAAGATACAAACAAAATTACCAAAGTACTAAACTGTAACAAAGTGACCAGCCACCATTCAGCAGGGCAACTAAAATATTCGAGAAATCATTAATTAGAGAAGAAACTAAACAAATCAACATAATAACTACAAAATTTTTAAAAAAAATTGCGAGAAATTAGCAAAGATGTTTACTTCTGCGGGTTCGCTTCTTGTAGAGGATGCGGTAACCGCACTCGCGGCATTGAATCACGTCTCCATGCTTCAAAGTATTCTCTTGCCCACAATCTGCAAAACCGTATATGAAATCATGTGAAACTGTAAAGCTAATCTCTAGGGTTTGGCTAAGGGACGAATAAGAGTGAAATTTCCTGTTGCTATACTCTCAGTTCCGCATCAAGGTTGAGGAGAAGAGATGAGTACCTCCACAGATGTAGGTGACGGGTTCAGGCTGAGGATCCATCGATTGCTGCGGAAAGCACTTCTCTAGGGTTCTCTGGAGAAGGAGAGAACGACTGCGTCCAGTGTTGGAGGGAAA